AGCAGCATGAATTTTATAATCATGGTAAAGGATTGACACACCAAGGCACTGTTTTTTTCAGAGTGAAACAGAAAATAAGGAACCAAAATTTCCATGTTCTGTTTCAGGTTTTTCATTAACTTCTATTTGGAGGCAAACAAGTGCCATCCTTCCCTGCTTCTGCCTCCTACAGGCAAGGCAGAGCTGTAATTTGAAACAGAGCTGTCCTATGACTTTTTAAGACTGTACAATGATGGAAAGCCTTGGTGAATGATCCTATGGAGATATAAAATGATTAATCTACAGGCATCTGAGAACACTTATGACTTAGCTTTTGGTTTGGTATCTGTTATTGCACTTATGGGGCTGTTAATAATCTCGTAATGCACATCAGGCCTTATCTTAATGATTAAAAAATGATTAAAAAGGGTCTGTTTTATCTCTAACTAGCAAGAAATGCAATTATTTTAAGTAGTGCAACGTCTCTACCACTCAGAAGTGATATTAAATGGTTTTAATAACTTGGCTGGAGGGTTCTATCAAGGTGCTAGAAGGATACCATCCCTCAGATGAGCATGTTGTGACAGCTCTGGAGCTGGTGTGGGGGCAATGCAGAGGGGCAGGGGGCCATGAGATCAGGGCAGAGGGATGTGAAGAAATAGTAGGAATAAGGCAATTTGCAGTCAGGTGTAGTACTGTAGCTTGAGGACAGCTGGGGAGGTAGCTGGGAAACCTAACAAGGATGACAGAGCTGGGGGACACAGAAGGATGAACATGTGCTTAGTGGAAAGTGAGAGGGCTGGAGATGGGCTGAGGGGGAAAATCTCTTTTCCTTCCACACCAAGACCTTGTGCTGACAGAAAATCCCAGAAGCAACCTTTGCTTCCTAATGCTGACCTGCTAGTCTGTGGGAGGCAGGGACAGTGCTGAGACCTGCCAGGTCTGCTGGCAGTGCTGGGGTGCTTCCCATCATCATCCCCCACCTCTGAAACTTCCAGTGCTCCTCAAAACCACATGGCTTCACGCAGAGATAATTAACTGTGTTATTAGCAGGGATCAGACTTGTGTTTTAAGTGGAATAAATCCAACCGTAAGCATGTGGGTGTTACGTAGATGGGCTTAAGCCATTTTTCACTTGTTCTTCCCTCACAGGAGACATGTTTCATCTCCCCAACAGCCTTTATACATCAGCAATAGAGTTAAGAATTAAAGCAGAATAAAAAATGGACAGTTTTTCAACCCTGTCACATCTCTAGGATGGTGTTCTGTTGCTCAATTCAAATAAACTCAGTACAGAAGCTAATTGCTGATAAACCGGGATCTTTCAAAACTCCAATTAAAGGCAACTTTATATCTTTACTGATATTAGGAAGAATATATCTACTGCTGGACACATAGCAATTAGCAAGACCAGCTTACCAACTGAGAGGTGCAACTGACCTGCTTTAGAAACGGGCGAGGCTCTGCTGAGCAAATTGGAATTAAACTGATTGACACTATAGAAATTTGGCCTTTTATTCCTCCTGCACACCCCAACAATGCAGCTTTGAAGTGATGTTTGAGCAGTAAGTGGCAGGTATGTGCCTGTGCTGTGCTAAGTAAAGCCAACTTCATCTGAACCCAGCCCAGCAAAGATTATCAATGTGTGCCTGAAGCACAAGGGTTACAAGAATCTGTGGGGTTGCATCAGAAGTGCAGATTTTCAGTTCTGTACTGGAGAAGCTTTACATAAATGACACCTAAATAATTTTCTGCCCAACTCCCTACTTTCCACCTTGCTTCATTTCTGGTGAAACACCTATTGAAATTGCACTGCCTCATACCTTTGTTAACAACCAAATATTCCACCCAACAGTGTCTTCCTGAGCACACAGAAGTGAGTTCCTGGCCACATGGGAGGCAGAGGGACTTTGCCACTCAATTCAACTAGCACTAAAACTATTCCTGTAAAAGTGCACTTCTACAGTTGCACTGCAATATCTCTGCTCCAGACCTCTAGTTAAATGCATGTTAAAGTCTAGGATCAATCTGCCTGGCAGTAAATTAATGGTCCATGGTGTAGCTACTGCTGTGATGCCTCTTCCATCAAGAGTGGCAGGGTTGCCTTAAGTGGCTTGTATGTCCGGAATAATGGTGCTTGTGGCTTGCACCTGCATAGGGGATGATGCTTGTTGCATTTAAACTAGATTATATGGCCCAAAAGGCATTGCTCAGCCCAAGAGGCACCACAGAGCTGCAGAGTTCCAAAGGGAGACCTGTGGGACGGGGGACTTCTGGCATATCCATGCATCATTTCAGGAGGTTTGTGTAGACCCCTTTGCTGATTGGGTTTTGCTGCCTCTGCCTGCTCTTCACCTACAGGGATGTAGCAAGGGTCAGTACTGCTGTGTTTGCAGCCTTGAACAAGCATGCAAAAGCCAGGAGACTCCTTTGCTACCTCTGCCCCTCTGCTGGCACAACATCCAGCATCTGGCATGGGTACCCTGATCTAGAAAATGATCCTTAAATATTAAGGGCAGAGATGTTGGGCCATTCTGGATGCATGCAAGGTTCCAGTGCACTGGGCTGCCTCTGGCATTTTGGATAGTAGCCTAGAAGGCACTGGACCTGGAAAGTTCAGTGCTTGGTGTCAGGATCTCCCAGCAGCCTGCCACTTGGCATGCAAAGCAGCACAGAGAAGGGGCGACTTCTTCAGCTTCTTTAAAAGAAAAAGTAGAAAGGGGAGTAAGAAACATTTACCAGCTTTGAAGGTGGGAAGGGTGCTGAGGCTTTCTGCTTTCCTTTCCCATTGTCAGGCTCCTTGTCTCTCTTGGGCCCCATGTTGTAAATCCTATGCTCCCATCGGAAGGGTGCTGGCTGCAGGCTCCCTCCAGAGCCCGTTGACGCAATCTGGGTCATTCAGAGAAGGTTGTCAGGAATGATCCTACACCTCCCTGCTGTGCTGGCACTGAGCTTTGCCTCACAGGGCATGAGAGCTGCTGGGTTGATCCTGAGTCCCGTTCCTAAACCTGTCTGACTCAACCCACTGCAGCCCTGGGGCTCCTGGGGGGTGTCCCCCGGGGTCCTAACTGAGGTTAGGCAATGTTGGGACACCATGTTGGGGACACAGGGAAAATACCCTGTGGCATCTAGCCATCCATTTTTTTGGGTGGTGAGAAGTTAGTGATGGAGGCTAGGACTGGGTATCCCTGTGAGGCAAAACCCACCTGCCAAGGGGCTGCCAGAAAATAAGGGCATTTCTAGCAGGCCTTTCCTCCTGGGGAAAGGCAAGAGTAGATTACGACAGAGAGCTAATCTGTATGGCTGTTTCATAGGTTTCCCCAGTGCCTGGACTCTGTGCTCAGCAACAGACATTATATGTGCTGAGAATAACTGATTTCTCAGAAGCACGATGTAAAAATATGTGGAAGTCTGGAGCAAACTATGGCAGTTTCTTTGTATTTTAGTGTTATCTAACAAAATCTCTCCCCATTCCCACACCGGGTTAATATGAGGGGCCAGATGAGCTGTCAAGCACCACAGTTTGGTGGAGGCCACCCTTCACCTGCCAGCTCACGTTTCTCATGAATCCTCACCTCTTTCCTTGACCTTATTTTAGTTGTTTACACAGACAGGTGTAAACCTAACTCCTAACATGACAAACTGAACTCCAAAGCTGCTGTTTAGACCATTGTCAATCTTCTACTCATTTACAGCAGCCAAAATTCACAAGCAAAGGCAGAATGCAGGTGTTCCTCCAGCCCAGGGACCACACTACAAGGGGTTTTGCTGCTCCTGGTCCCTGTGCTTGGGCCAACTGTGCTGCACAGCAATAATCACGAGCAAATAATTTTCAAGACTTTCCAGATTGCTATTATGTGGAAATGAAGACTTAAGTTCCCAAGTGGACACTTGTCCTATTCAGCTGCAAGTTTTTATCCAAATTGTTTAAATGCTTGCTGCCTCAGTTTTTCTGTTTGTCCCTGACCTGCCTGTTTGCTATTCTTGGATTAAAATCACTGTGTAGGATACAGTTCCTCTTCTAGCAGCTGCTGCTTCTTGTACATGTTTGGAAAAACAGACTCTGAATGTATTTTGGGGAATATGGATATTCCAAATCAGCTCAGGGCTGGAGTAATGGCACTGCTGTGGTACAGCATGATGTCTGTAAGCTGGGTAGTGTGGAAGTTTGTGCTCTGCCCATGGGAAGTTTGTGTGCAAGTCCTCAGTCCTTCTCTGTTTTAAATGCAAACATAAATGACTCCAATTCCCCCTAAAGTCAATAAAGATTATAAATATGAAGTCAAATAAGACCCAAAAGCCCAATAAGTGCATTAAAGCTGGCAGCATGTTTTAATTTACTACTCCTACACCTTCAATTTGCCTGACACAGCTGGGAAGTGCTGCCAGTGAATGCTGCATGAGCTCCTGTGTGTGAAGTTGGAGGGGGACGGACAGTGAGTTACCCGCTGGCTGTGAGCCACAGCTTGGAATTTCCTGACAGTTTTTCCTTGTGGTTCCGAGAGCAGCTTGCTGTCAGGGAGTGTTTCTTGTGTCCCGTCCCTACCCCATATGCTGTTTTCAGTCTCTATTGCAGCATTCTGGAGTATTTTGTTTTCCAAATGAGGTCCACAGGGTACTCTAAGTTGTCCCCTTGTGAAACATCACAATATGCATCACTTAAACATTACTCTAAGCCTCTAACTCCAGCCCACAAATGCTACCAACAGTGAATTCATTCCTCAGAAGAGCAAGTGTAATTTATAACTCAAAACAGCACTTGAAACTGTTTGACTAATAAAATGTCCTTCACTTGACTCCTCAGTTAAAGCCTGGCTCGTGCCAGCCTCTTTTCAGATATAATCACTCTAGGAAATACTTTTTCAGTGTGCACTGAGCAGCAGAGCCTGAATTTGCTCTAATACATGCTTTAATGTTTACTCCCCAACACCTCACGGCAGCCCATCTAAGCCCTCTGCACCATCCCCCTCCCAAATGCCTCAGCCCATCCTGCAGCTTCCCCCCTTAAAGATCAGGTTTACCTTAGCAGCAGCGGAGCAGCAGTGCCCAAAATGGAGATTTCAATGGGATCTGGCAGGGAGATTTTCCCTCTCATCTACATACTCCTGTAGTTTCCACCTTTGGGAAAACAGCCTATCTACAAGCAGAAGGTTTCCATATATCTTGTCTCTCAATGTCTTCAAATACTTCTTGCTGCTCTTGTAGTTTCCAGGCAGTTTTAATTACTTTCTGTTTTTAAATAGAGGCGAAGGACCAGAATTCAGTAACTATACAGAAAGAAGACATCAGAAGGAAGTGGGTGTGAAGACCCTCTGAATAAAGTCAGCCCAAAAAAAGCTGAGCTTTCTCTCTCCAAACTTTATTTCATGAAGCTCCTCATTATCCCCACCTTTATAAAAACTCTTCTTCCCATCTGCTCTGCCTGTGCATCCCTGACTGCCGGGGCTCCTCTGGGACATGATGGCCATTCCCGTGAGGGCAGGATGCTCGGCGTGGAGTCAGTGCCTTTGCTGTCATTTGCCAAAATTCATCCCTCTCATCTGCTCCTGGGAAGAACACTGCAGGAGTCAGGCAGAAAAGTGAGCTCAGGTTGGGGCAGTCCCAATATTGTCCTGAGCCCGTGGCCAGTGCACAAACGGGCAGCACCTCTCCTGGCCAACCTTTACTTTCGGAAATGTCAGGGCTGTGCAGAAGCAGGCGTTCAGCTCTTTCTCCAGTGCTCGCTCATCCCTGTGTACCCTTGCATGTGCTGGTGTGAAATCAGGGGCTTCCCAGCCTTTCCCTCAGTCACCTCCATCAGATCACTTTGTCCTTGGGTGGTATTTGCTTTTCTGAGTCAAGAGCATGCCAGCGAGACGCTCCCGTTTGTCTCTGGCTGCTCGCTGATTTCCCACGCTGTGTGCTTGCTGTTTGCTCCTACAGTAAAAGCAGAAGCTGCTTCTGCTGGTGTGGTCCACAGTTGGACTTTCCCACCCCCCGCCCTGTTTAAAACGTAAGGTCTCACAAATTAAGAAGCTATAGCCTGTCTAGATCTTATACCAGTCAGTCTCTGATTCATCAGAGAATCTCCTTGGTAACTAGCTGTTCCTCTCTGATTTGCTACTAAAAAGCTCTCCCAATTTAAAGATAAAATACAGTGAAAGCAGAAAGAGGAGCTACACCATATAGATACCTTATACAGAAGCATATGCCTTGTGTGCAAAGAGCTATACTGGATATTTTCTGATGTGTGTGGGAAGCAGCCTCTCTGTGAGACAGCATGCTACTACCCTATGGATGGCAAATGTGCCCCAGCTGCCTCATCTCTGCTAGAAATCCTTTTTCCTGCTCCAGGGCCAGTAACCCCATCTGCAGGGTAAATAATCCCACAGGAGAAGATGAGGTTGGCATTTAACAAGGGGCTCAGCAGTTCATGCTTTAATAAGCCAGATTTCTGGCCTTGCGTGGGACAGATTGCCAAGTACAAAGATTCAGAGATGGGGTGACTTCCTGCAGGAGGTGTGCCTGGTGTGTTTGATGCTGTCTGATTGCTCTCTGGCTCTGGTAATGAGCCCCTGCTGCCTGACCCCCTCCTCGGCACACAGCAAAGTGCCGCCTGCGCTCTGGTGTCTGTTGGAGTTGGAGGGAAGGTGCTCACTGAAGATTTGGGGAGTTTTTTGTTGGTGATTTGTTGTTTTTTTTTTCCTGAGAACCAGCATTGCTGGAAAAGTTGATCCCAGGTGAGGCTAAGAACACTTAGTGTTTGAAATAGTGAGTAATTGTGCTCAGAAAGTCAGTGTAAGTGAAGAGTTTGACCCATGAATGCCTGAGGCCAGGAAGCTCTGTGGTGAGACTTGCCTGGGGTTATTAAAGGATGAGGCAATGGTACAGAGCTAGAAATGAGTATTCACATTATGCATGTCTGGTGCATCCACAGCCAGAAAGCTCTGACTCCCTGTGCATGCTGTGCCTGCTCCAGCAGGACTGTGCTGCTGAGAGTGGGGCTCTCTGTGGTGCTGAGCCCACTGGGGTAGAAGAGGGGACAGACAACTCGAGAAATGAGTGCAGCTGAGCTGCTTTCAATTCTTTTTACCAGATACATTAGAAATCAAAAATCATTCCTAGATTTCTCTTTCAAAACCCAGCCAGTAGCTCTTGCCCTGACTCTTGGCAGAAGCAAACAGAGGGAGAGAGGCAGGTCCGCAGCACAGACACTGGGCAAGTCATTTTCCTCTCCATATTTTCTCATTGGCCTTATGCACTTTCTGTCCCACAGCACTAATTCCTCATTGCTACAACAAACAGCAACAAAGCACCAGATCCATGAGGGGTTTTTTATCCCTGCAAGAGGCTTTTGAGCTCACTGCGAGAGCTTGCTCAGCCCTGGGAAGCACCCAGCAGCTGGAGGAAAGCTCCTGCAGGCAGCTCTGGCAACAGGGCTATTGACACCATGGGTGTCATCGACTTGAGACAAAATCTGTGTTCCCATAAGGGGTTGTGGTGTCTCTAATAACTGGGCAGGAGAAGCCCAGGATTATATACTCTGCTTGGGCAGGCATGATCCAGACCCGCTCAGATTCAGACCTGTGGTTGCAGATTGTTTAATCGTAGCAGGCAAAACCTTGTGTGTAAATGTGCTGCCCATACCAGCAAAGCCAAAAATGCTCATACCTTCATTTATCAAGTAATATGGGTGACAATAAACTGGTTCTGATAAATGAGGGTTGAGATAATCAAGCTCATTTTTGATGCAATTGAACATGTCAGGAACACGACCTCATTCTGGATAAGGGATGAGCTTTTAGATAATCAAAGTTGTGATAGGCAAGGCCTGACTGACCTCCCCTTGATCAGGGGGAAAGGGATGATTGATGCTCGTCCTTCTCCTTCCTGCTCTCCTGCTGCCACTGTGGGTGCTGAGGCTTGGGGAGGGCAGGTGAGCCCCTGCTGCCTGGGGTCTGGTGCTCCTGTTTCACACCTGAAAGGACATACAAGAAGCTTCTTCTCTGCCTCTATCCTGCCTTTTAGTTTTCTTCCTGAAGCTTCACAACCTTTGCTGCTACCATATTTCTGGGCCCAGGCCTCTTGGTGAGAGGGAGGTGAAGAGGAAGAAGGAGCCCCTGATGGGAGCGATGCCTGCAGGCATATCCTGGTTGGCTTCATCACCAGGATCCCTTGATGGAGGGAAGGATGGAGAGAGGTCAGGTCCAACAGCGCTGGTGTTGGGGTCTCTAATACCCAGTGCCATTCTGTGACCATGGGGGGGCTGAAGCCACCAGCCTGGGAAAAGCAGGATCATTTCTTGCTTTGTCCAGGGGTAGCAGGAGCTCATCTCCCCCAGGTGAGCATCAGGGCAGAGCCCGGGTGTCATGTCCCACTACACAATTCTCCTGGAGCAGAGGATGCTCCCTTGGAGCCTGTCCTGCCCCATGGAGGCAGTGGGCAGAGCTGAAGATGGACTGTTTACCTTTGCTGAAGCTCTGGAGCAGCCAGATCTGAATTTTTATGTTATACATTTTAATCACACTGTTGTGACCTGGACCATGGCACGGGGAGAAGTGGAAAAGCATCAAAACCTGCTTATTCCTCACCTGGAGCCTGCATTCTTTAATTGGTTCCCCTGCAGATGCCTGCAGACAACATCTCCTTGTCTGGGTTATTGCCCACCCTGTGTGGTTTTGGTTACAAATTCATATTTATATATACATAAAAAAGAGCTTATGTACAGCGTTTTGCTCTTCCTCTCTCCTTTGCAATGTGTTTCTATTTTGGTAAGAGGAGCAAAGGTGGCTGCAGCTATTTATAGCAGGAGAAGGAGCATGAAAAAGGATGCCCACAGCCTGGATGGGCACAGGGCTGTCTGCCTGAGGGCAACAGGGGGTCCTTGCCATCAGAGATATAGGGTTTTTTTGCTTTTTTGTGTTTCTTCCATTTTATTTCAATTGCTGGTCTAATGCTGAATTAGATATGAACTTAAAGGACTGCTAGTGGCAGTAAAAAAAAAAAAAAGAAACATGTGGAGCATCGGCGAGTATTTTTTATGAATTGGATCTCTTGAGATGAAAGCTTCATTACTGTGAAACAATGAGCCCACTACACTCTTAGTAGTACAAATGGGTTTCATTTGTATTAGGAAGACACAAGCTTATTACTTTTAGTTTTTTCCTGTAGCACCAGGAATGTTTAATGTGATAATCAATGTAATTGAGGAACTGAAATTACAGAAAATTGCAAGTCTCAGGAGTGATAATGGCTACAACTGCAGCATGGCCAAAAGGTTGGGAGATGGGCACAGGTGTGGTTAAAGCAGACTCACATCCCAAGTGTGGATGATCCCCTGTCATGCTGGGATCCACGGGAGTGCATCAGGCAGTTCTGGTGCAGCCCTTGCACCAGGGGCACCTGTGTTTGAACAGGTCTTTCCTGAGTTATTTGCAAAGCTGGATAGGGTCACAATTTGGCCAGTTTGGTTTTGGGGGGTTTTTTCCTCCTCCCTCTCCCCAGAAATTGCAAAAGGCACACTTTTGACACCAAAACTCCCACTGCCAAATTCCCAGCTCCTCTCCCTAAGTACAAGGTTGCTAAAGATTTTCAATTAAATGTTTCAGAGCCTTTAACACAGACAAAATGACATTTCCTCTCCAGCCCACTGCTCATAAAATGTGATGCTGTTTTGTGAAACTTTTCACCTCTGAAACTCAGTCTGTAGCAGGCACCCAGCATGCTTTCAGCCCAAATTCCATGAAAAGCATAAGTAGCAAGCTCCTTGGAGGACCTGTCAACTATAGGAAGGTCATCTATAGCCCAGCAGCATGGAGCTCCTACTCCAGCTCTGGGGAGCTGCTGGTTGCCATGTACCAAATCCAACCACTCCTGCATCTCCAGGCAATTTCCCTGGTCATTTCATTCCCTCCATGATACAGTGGGGTTTTTTGGTTGCTTGTTGGTTATTTACTCTGTGTGTTAGTCCATAGAAAAGGCGGTGAGAAGGAAGGCAGCTCCTTGTCTCTGCCTTGGCAGCTGCCCCCGGGGCAAGAATGCTGCATGGGGCACCTGGGCTGCATTGCAGGCTGCCCAGACATCAGCCTGGGCAGGGATGGCTGAGGAGAAGTACCTAGAACCCAGGGAAGATGGAATATATTTCAGATGCAGCTTTGAAGCTGCTAAATTCAGAGCAAGTTTGAAAGAAATAGCAGCCTGCAAGGGTGCAGCCAGGTTTGTTTTCAGCCCTCTCCATTTTAATCTGTTTCACTCTGAGGAGGGAAATTTTCTCTGTTAGAAAAGTTGCCTTGTTCTAGTGGTTTCTAATAAATCATGGCTGTAGTCACCAAAAGCTGTTGGGTGCCCTCCCTTTCGGGAGAGCTGCCTGAGCTCTCCTCCCATGCAAGGACATGCTCCTGTCTGGCAGCATTGGAGCCGGTGCCCAGCGCTGCCCCACATCACAGGGCTTCCTCACACTGCCAGTCTTGAACAGAGAACTACAGAGAAACCAGGTTTGCCCATTAAAAGAACTCACTTTAGCATGTGCCATCAGCTGTGCCATGGGTTAGATTTAAGCCTATTGCAGTCAGATGGTACTTCGAGGGAAACTACGGAAGGCAGAGCTGAAGGTGGTGATTCATGGGCTGTAGTGTTCATGCTCTTAATGCAATTGCTTACATTACAAAGCAATTATCAGGGTTTAAAATTTCAATAGCATTTGGAAGGCGTATATGCCTGGGGGTTTTCCATTTGCAGAGATGTTTCTTTTATTGTACCTACTTGCCTAGTAACTTCACCATTTTAAGCACATCAAAGTGTTTTAGAAACCTATTTGTGATCTTTGTTGAAAAACAAAGGCAATCCTGCCAGCTCCACACAGAATACTTGCTCCCTCGCAAGCTGCTCCTAGGGCTCAGTTTGGGTTTTGTGAGGTTTAATGAGGTAAAATCCCCTGTACAGTGTTTCCTGCTCCCTTTCTTAAATTGTGGCAGCACAT